AATTTGGTACAAAATTAAGGATAGTGTCAGACAGCATTTAGTACATAATTTTGTATGAACAAGTTGAGTGCTAAATTTTTTATTAATTGGTTGACAAAAACAAGCCTAACTTCAAGCACTTTCATCATTTGTTGTGATCAGTTGTGTTCATCAGTTCGCGGAACTCCCCTGCTTATGCTGTTCTACTTGTAGATTGAAAAACTTAAGAGATATCATAATCAAAAGAGCAGTAAGATGTACTTCTAAATGAGTATGAGAAATATGATTGTTTATATGCTGCGAAAAGCAAATCATATAAAAACAGAAACGCCAAATATGCTGCGTTGCTGAACACGACTGAGTTTCAATCCATATTCCATTTATGGTAAGTGTCTCCCAACTCCATACCAATCGTTGCCGACGGTGCTGTGGGGTCAGAGGTAGTACAAGATGGGGACGGTATAAAAGACCTTATTCGGAGATAAACTGTCCTTATTGTTATTGCCCTTCCGACAACATCAAACCACTGGTTCGCAATATTAAATAAACGTGTTCATATTGTTCGGATCCTGATATGGCAAAAAAAAGCATTTACAAAAAAATCACGGCTCGGAATGAGAAAACATTTTATCAGCGTATACTTCCATGATAGCAAATATGTTTCAAGTTTTTATCAAAATTCAAGAAATAATTCTGGGTGTGGCATTTTATATGTTCTTAGTATATATGCGCATTACGGGATCGCTCCTCTTTCTACAATTTTCTGTTTGGTTAAAGCAGCCAGTCGCAACGAGGCTTGTAGTTTGACGTGATAAATGGAAGTTCGAGGTTGATAGTCATAGTTTTCTGCTACAGACTGCACATGGTTTCGAACGAAATTTATTACAAAAATTTGTAAACAAATTGGGAATTAAATTCCTTGAAAAGCAATGTTTTCGCTTAAATATATACGAGCCCCTTCCCACTTCAGTTGGCCCAACTATTGAAATCTTAGTTTTTTTCTTATCAAACACAAATAATAATAATGTAGCAGGGTGTTATAGGTTTAAAATATTAACAATGAATATTTTGATAATATATAGTAGAAAACACCAACTTTATCACTCCCTAATCAAATTTGCAGCATAAAAATAACACATGTTGCAATTACAGCATTACAACCTATTTTCATTTCAATGCAAAATAAGTCTATAACGCATAGGTGGCTGTGGAAAATAAAAGCCATGGCAATTGTTTTTATTAATCACAGCTGTCAGAATATGTTTAAAATAGTTTTGGGTAGTTAAGGTTTTCAAAATGGGTAGAGGAAAGGTTATTAGTGAGAAAATTCGGTTACTGATAATTAAATTTTTGTAATTCTGGGAAATCAAACTCAAAACACAGTGTGAAAAATTGTGTTAGAAGATATAACGTTCAGTTAATATTAAGCCACGATATGTGAAAAAAGTAATATCACAAATGCCGACCGAAGAGCATTAAGAAGGATAATCGTGAAAAACAGGCATGCCAATTATTTACAATTAAGTGCTCTGTGGAGTGACGCTGTTGGAAGGAGAATTCCGAGGTCCACAACTGATAGAGAGGCCCACAAACTGGGATTTAGCACTTGCAGGGTAAGTTTTCTTATAAAAAAAGTGAAGTAAAAACGCTAAAGTTGCACAACTTGTTTATAGGCCAAAGAAAAGCCACTATTAACTCCACTGCAAAAGAAAAATCGGCTTAGATGGGCTAAAGAACATAGACAATGGACACCTCAACAATGGTGTGCAATACAATGGAGTGATTCGAAGTTTGTGTTGGTGACAGTCGCAGTAGAGTTATTCGCAAAAAAAATGAAGCATTCCATGTTGACTGTCTGAAGAGAAAAGTGAAATTTCCAGCATCCATTATGGTCTGGGGCAGTATGTCATCAAAAGGAGTAGGAGAACTTCATTTTATTGATGGAAATGTGGATACAAACAAATATTTTACAATTTTAGAAGAATCGATTTTACCAGTGATGGAAGAATGTTTGATATCCGGCCAAGATTTTGTGATTCAGCAAGATGGTGCAGCGTGCCATATCTCAAAAAAGGCTATAAAATGGATGGAAGAAAATAATGTACCATTTTTAAAATGGGTTTCTGGCAGTCCAGATCTTCACCTATTGAAACTTTGTGGCACGAGATGAAAAAGGTTCTACGACAACATCCTGCTCGTACAATCACCGAACTGAGACAAAAGCTTCCAGAAATATGGGATTGTTTTACACAAAATTTTTGCCAAAACTTGGTTAACACTATACCCCAAAGAATTCCAACCGTAATAAAAAATAAAGGTGATGTTACCCAATGGTAATCTTTCAATTGTTGCTTTGTTCAGATGTTCTATTAGTTATAGGTCTAAGTGATTTCAAATATGTATTTTTTACGACTGGAGTGTATCTAAAATGTTTTTGAGAAAATAAATTGTTTTAGAAGTAAATAGTTTCGTCATGTTTAGTTTATAAAGGCATATTTTGGTACAAACCTTGAAGTGGGACAACTGAAGTGGGAAGGGGCTCGTACACTTGGCGACCTCAAACCATCTAATTTTTAACGGACTTTTTAAGCATTGAATATACCCGGACCGTAAACCAGATCAAATTTAAACAATTTTTTAAATAGATTGCAATTTTTGTTTCTTGGATCACCCCGAACAAGAAAAACCTCCATTAACTTTTCTCTAGAGCTGGCCATTTTTAAGTTATAAGCGATTTAATGTCTTTCAAGTCCTGAAATGAATATATTCAATATCTGTTAGGCTAAAATTGGCGAACATTTAATAACAGATTACTAGCGCCTCGAAATATCAGAATATAAATTTTCAGATCTCTTGGTCAAGTATTCGATTTAAATCAGGCTTTTTGAGAGTGGCTGCATTATTTTTTCAGCTAAAGCATCAGGCTTTTCTACTAAATATTATTTCTAGACCAGGGTGTAAAAAATGTCAGCGATATTGCGTTAGGGCTGGACCATCCCTGGCGATCTAAGCGAGTTGATCGTTTTTCATGGATACCGTCAAGTCAGGCTCCAACAAATTACTGGAAAACTTTCGTTGAATAGTACGACCTTCGAAAACCAAAATTTTGCCAATTTTGGCCTGGTTGAAGTCGCTTTAAAATATACTAATTTCAAAATACTCTTCAAAGCCTTGAAAAGCAATGTTTTAGCTTTAATATATATGCTTGGCGACCTCAAACCATGTACTTTTTAACGGACTTTTTAAGCAGTGAATATACCCGGACAGTAACCCAGCTCAAATTTAAACAATTTTTTTTTAAATATAATGGAATTTGTTTATATTTGTTGGATCAGTCCGAACAAGAAAGACCTCCATTAACTTTTCTCTAAAGCTGACCCTTTTTGGAGTTATAAGCGATTTAATGTCTGGGAAGCCCTGAAATGAATGTATTCAATGTGTGTTAGGCCAAAATTGGCGAACTTTTAATAACAGATCGTTATTAGCGACTAGAAATTTTAGAATATAAATTTTCAGATCCCTTGATCAAGTATTCGATTTAAATGAGGCTTTTTGAGAATGGCTGTATTATTTTTTCAGCTAAAGCACCAGGCTTTTCTACTAAATATTATTGCTAGGCCGGGGTGTAAAAATGTCAGCGATATTACATTAGAGCTGCACCATCCCTGGCAATCTAAGAAAGTTGATCGTTTTTCATGGCTACCAGCAAGTCCAGCTCCAACAAATTACTGGAATAGCTACCTTTGAAAACCAAAATTTCGCCATTTTGGCCTGGTTGAAGTCGCTTTAAAATAAACGTAATTTTTAACAGACTTTTCAAGCATTGAATATACCCGTACCGTAACCCAGATCAAATGTAAACAATTTTTTGAATAGATTGCATTTTTTTGCCCTGACTAGTTTTTCTAGGTTTCTTGGATCACTCCGAACAAGAAAGACCTCCATTAACTTTTCTCTATTTGTGATTTATAAGCGATTTAATGTCTGGAATGTCCTGAACTGAAATGGATATATTCAATGCTTAAAAACTCTGTTAACAATTATAATTATTCAGGTTGCCAAAGTTGAAATCTTGTTTGAGTATTTTGTGATTATTCTATTTTAAAGCGATTTTTAACTTTGTCTGCTAGGCCAAAATTGGCGAACATTTAGTTTTCGCAGACTTCAAAGGTTGGCCAACAAAAAATGCGAGATACTGTATCTGGGAACCTATCCATCGTAGTGGCTTGCGTCAAAAATGGTTTCTGAAAGTTTCTCATTCAAAGTAAATATGTAGTTGAAAATAGCTATTTTTGGAGCTACAAATGTTATAATACTATAACTTTTGATAGTTTCACATGTGGCCACTAGACATTCCGGCATTAATTGTTAATTTACTCAAAAAAATTAAATGCATTGGTACGATTTTTTTTATGAAAAAGTATCTAATCTATATCTAAGCAAGCTTGCGAAAACCGCATCTGGATATCTTATTCCTAACCTAAAATTTAGGCCAAAGAAAATTTTATACAGAAATCCCTTAAATTTTTTATTTTTTTAAACTACATGGCTCGTAAGCTTGCCACTAATCTAAAACTATCACGTCGCAAAGACGCCGATTTGAATATCGAGTCGGGTACACTCTGTTTGCTACTGCGGCATTCTGAAGACATTCAAAATAAACTCCAAGCATATCAACAGCTTTATCGTTCGTGCCTGTATCTCTGTAGGCAAAGCTTGTAGGATCTTTTTTATAGAAACTAGAGAGATACGAGAGATTTATATGGTATTCGGGACACTCAGAACATAGTAACGTAGCATGCGAGCATTCCCATGATCAGTACATCAGTAGGTAGTTCAACCCAGGTTGTGTGCTCTTACTCTACTCCTACTATTGATGAAGTTATTTACTTTTTACTGCTATTACTACTTCTACTACTACTGCTATTTACTTTTTCACAAAAGTTGTTACCTGGGGCATTTGAATAATTACATGCGTGACTGTCACATACATCAGTGGAACATTTTTTATCAATCCAACACGAAAAAAAAGTACAATGCCATTTCATCTTTTCCTTTTATTTCAGACAAGAGACAGCACTGGATTCTCTTGCGAAGGAAGAGTCAATGGATATTATGCGGACGTGGACAGTGGATGTCGAGTAAGTACAAAATCCATTAGAATAAGGACGATTGCTTTAAGAACATGGATGATGAAAATATTACCTGATAGTGGCCATCCACGATATAACTGAATTACTCATTTTCTCAAACTTAGTTAGGTTGATGTAGAAAGTAGCAAGAAGAAAAGTGGATGTCAACTATTTTATTATTTTCACTACCAACCCCTCTTGGGGGTTAGGATCTCGACATAGCTAAGCTTTAAAACATTTATTCAGTCAAAGGTTAGGCCTTTCTACCTTGGGCCAGTTTGAAATACATGGATTTTGATCGAAAAAGTATCATTTCTAGAGAAAGAGAATTTCAATCTCGCTGTCTATGTTAAACACAAATCAAAACTGTAGTAATGTTTATCTCTCGCTTAAACGTTTTCTTTAAAAAACGTTTGAATGTGTATTTTTTAGCATTAGTCGTTCAATAACGATGTTAAAATTAACTAGGCCCTACATCAATGCCTTTTGGATCATTCTGGCTTATTTTGGCCTATTTTTTAGCATTTCAACAAAGAAATTGAATCACTGCAAAATAGTTCACATAAAGATATTTTAAACCTTCAATTTTCTCCAAACAAGCACGTAGATTATCTGAGAAATAAGATCTCAGTCGTTGTATGATGCGACAACGGATTATAAACGCTACAAAAGCTTCCCAAAGTGGTAGGGAAAAAATGTCAAAATATAGAAATGTGACCTTACGCTGAGATATGCACTAAGCATAAAGGTTCCCCCACACCCACGCGATACAGCGATAGCGGTAGCGTCAGCGTTAAACATCGCATTAAGCGCGATATCTGCACGTTCACACCACCGCGGTACGGCAGTTTTCTTATCTGCGCGATATTCTCAAACGTTTTTTGATTTCTTAGTCAATGAGCCGTATTCATAAAAGAGAAGCATATCCTCGGAAGCATAAGGTAAAAGTATAAGGTCTTGCTTCGGAGAAAAACGGTAAAAGTATAAGCATATCCTTGTTTTCATCTTCATAATGATTACCTTATACTCGCGAGGATATCCTCCAAGAAGACGTAAAAGGTTGACTGGTATTTGTATCTTGAGCGACATGTCCTGACTTGTTCCAGCTAGTAGTTGACGTGGGAGTTCGTTCACTTAGCATCACTGACAGTTGTACTCCAGAGCTTACACAGACCGGTCGGTATTTTTACTGGATACAGTTTTTCATCAAATTAATGAGCATGTCATCCTCAAGTGATGAGGAAACTATAGAAAATAATGGCGACGACCTGCAGTTCATCGCAGATGAAATTGCCATTGCTCCCATTATTTTGCAAAAGTCACAAGTTCCAAAAATAAAAATGAGAAAGGTTGATGCCTTGAACATGTTGAAAAAATACGAATCAAAATTCGATAAACCATTAGATACTAAAGGCTTATTAAAAAACTTTAATCAGTAAAACTATTTATTATGATACTCAAGTTTCTTCTTACTTGTTGACCTAGTTGGCGGAGAGGAAGTTCGTCATTCTCTTGATTTCCTTCATCTTCATCTGGGTCTTGTTCAACTAACTCAAAGTCAGGATCGCCTAAGCTCTTCGCAACATTATGGAGTACAATACAAGCAATAATTATTTTCGGCAGGCACATTTTCCAACTTTACGCGGCAAACATACTGTAGGATAGGAAACCGGCGTTTCAGTTGGCCGAAACAGCGTTCAATTATAACTCTTTCTTGTTTTAAAAACTTATTATAATTTATTTCTGCACCTGGAGTAGGATTTCTGAAGGGAGTCATAAGGCATGGCTCAATACCAGAACCGTCATCGCCAAGTAGTACAACATTTGCTTTATTTATTAGTTGTGATCTAGTCTGTGAATTTCTCCATATTCGGGAATCATGCACTGATCCAGGCCAACTGACATCAACGCTTGTGAACATCTCTCTGGCATCACAAGTGGCTTGCACATTTAAAGTAGGTTTGCCTTTTCGGTTGATATACTCATCTCCATGGCGATTTGGTTTCAGGATTTCTATATGTGTACAATCAATTACACTAATTGCTGTCGGAAATTTATACATGCTTTGCCTCCATGAGTTCGTGGTTGGTAGTTGGAAACTTGATTCATTCGTTCGACTGTTCAACTATGCTGTTCACAACTCTATCCACAGTCCGAGATACCGTTGCTTGACTAACACCAAGTTCCTGACCAATACCTTGTTGATATCCAGGGTCACCGAGATAGCGTAGACATATCTTCATTTTGTGAATACATGAAAGTGCTCCTCCTCGAGTTTCCTCATTCTCAACTAAAAATCTGTCCGCAAGCCATTGTACATTTGCTTCGTCGAACCGATATAATTTTTTAAAGTGAAGGAAAACGAGGTTTGTACGTTTTAACATCCACAATTTCCGCCATCATCGTTTGGCCACCTTTCGTTACGAAGTTGAGTCTACTACTGACCACACTCAGAATTTTTTAAGGATTTATGCTTCCTATACCAAGTATAAGGTGAAGATTATGAATATCCTTTTACTTATGTCACTGCTTTGAAGGATATGCTGATTCTCAAAAAGCTAAGGCATTTACTTCAAATTATTATAGATACCATCTGGAGGATTTCCTTCAAAATTTGCAAGTACAAAGGACATCCTTTGTTTTATGAATACGGCTCAATATGTCTTCTGAAGAAGAAGAACTGTCATCAGTATTGGCCTTAGCAGAAGACAGAAGGTGAAAAAGAAGTATTTTGATAATAATCATTAGTTAATAATAATTGATAATTGTGTTTAAGGAAAAAAAAGAAATGGATACTTGATACCAATAAACTATCAAAGATATATGGATTTATGGATCGAATTACCTAGAGATCCACAACGTTTTTACGTATACTTTCGGATGACTTCCGTTTGTTTTGATGTAATCATAAGTTTAATGAGATCCCACACTCTATCCCTTTTCCTGCAAATTTTATAGTCTTCGAGACTTAAATAGTACAGTATTGGGTACTTCTTATCTTGTTCAATTAATTTCTCCGATGAGGACATCGTGAAAAACGTGGCGATACGCGATACGAACCGCGTCATGCGATACGAAGCGCGTCAGCAGCGTTTCTGAAATGAAACGCTGTCAAGGCGATTAACCGCGGGCCACCCCAACGCGCTGATGTGCTCGGTATTATTTACCGCTCTGAAAACTGAGCACCGCATGGACAGCGTTGCGATTATCGCTATCACCTTACCGCGTCGGTGTGGGGGATCCTTAAGAGTATTAAAACCCCGTCTGCGTGTGCGACTTGCTCGGGGCTAAGAAAATTCGTCTAATGATGGAAATGGTAATAAATGCAAGACTCAGAGTATACTGAGTGATAAAAAAGGTAAACACCAACGTATGATTATTAGAATTCAAGAATTTTTTAAGAAGCCTTTTTGTTTTTGCTCATAATGCCTAGAGTGCGTAGAATTCGCTAGGTGTCCCAGCTAAGTGACTTTGAGAGGGGTCGATTTTTCGAGTTTCGTGAAGCTGGTCTATCGATAGGAGAAGTTTCTAGGAGGACCAACAATATGTGTGAACGAGCGTGAACTCAGGAAGGTCCAGGACAGCAAGCGACGGGTTCTGGACGACCCAGAGGGACCACAGAGCGACAAAACCGCCGGTTAAGACTTCTGGCTCTGAAAGACAGATTCAGTAATACTCGGTCATCGCTAATCAGTGGTTTTAAGACCATGAAAAGATGGTTCGTACGCCAGATACGACAGTTTGGACTTTTTTCTTAGCGGTCTTATTGGGTGCTACCTCTCACAGCTGAACATCGGCGTAACCGTTTGCTCTGGTGTAGAGAAAGATCTTTATGGAACCGGGAATGGAATCAGCTGGTCTTTAGGGACGAATCCCTCGTCTGTCTGGGGATGCACGATGATCAGGCACGAGTGAGAATGCGACGTAGTGAAAGACCCACAATTTGACAGAGAGCGTCACGTTCACCTCACCGTGGGAGTTATGGTATGGGGTGCTACTGCTACTGCTTGTGGTAACAGATGACCACTATTTTTTATCAGAGGCAATATGACAGCCCGACTCTATATTCAGGAAGTAGTGGAGCCTCATCTTATTCCTTACCTAAGCATGTTGCCACGATCGCCTGACCTATCTCCAATTGAACATGTCACAGGTCCACAGACTTTAGCATCTCATACTCACGAAGTTGCAGTAGTCTGGAATAAGACAGGATATCGACAAACTTATGAGCACGAGGCCCAGGCGTGTCAACGAGTGTATAAGAAATCGAGGATCATCAACACATTATTGAACCAGCTTCTGCAGTCAGTTGATGAATCAAGCTGAACATTTAATCGTTTAACTAGTAAAGGACACTGAACATATATGCTAAAAATTATTAAAATCTGATAAAATTGCGTAGGTGATTACTTTTTGTTGTCACTCAGTATACATACGCAAAAAATAAAACACTACAAAATGTATACAGAAGCAAAAAGGACAACTACATCTATTGAGATTCTTGCATGATTAGCACTTAAGCATTCAAGAGCGGGGAGTGGGCGCGAACGTACCACGATTCAGTTCTGGCAAAGTAATTTTACACTAGCAGCAGTATATACCATTCTCTTGAAAAAATGGCAGACTTGGGCATCTAAGGAAGCGCGAACTCCTACGATGCTGTTTTATATGTTTTCAGTGTATACTTTTATGTATTATTAACATAACTGCTAAGGCTGCAGTCAGCTGCGACCAAAATTGACATGTTTCTTAACTGGGTATCTGATAAACATGCCCCTATTCTAAATAGGGCGGGCCCTAATGGGTTTTTAAACTATTTTTGGAATCACTAATTACGGAAAAAATATCATTTACATATTCTTGTCGAAGTAATAAATAAGACAATACTCAAAATAAGAAACTTCTGGATAACTGTATAACTTTGTAATTTTTAAGATGCTCAAAAAAAAATCAGTGCTGTCCTTCATTTGTACGATCATTTTAGGTGTGTTTCAAAAAATAGGAAACTTCCTCATTGAAGCTTGCAAATGGTACCGATATTAAAAGTTTCATAATAATTCAAGGTATATGACCTTGGAACGAACCCAACGACTACTACAACATTAAAACCCAACAATATGAAACGCGGCCTTTTAGCGCCAGGATTCCGAGCCCCTATAACTTTTTTATATAACCTCCCAGAAAAAAAATTCTACAAAGATTATAGAGTCTAGTATGAAGTTTTCCATGTAATATTTTTTGTACAGAAAAAATTTATTAAATAAAATTGTATTTTCTTAAATGGAACACCCTGTATATTTTCAGTGAAAATAATAGTTCCTTTTCTCTGATTCCACCGTTTGTCCACACTTTCTTCAATTGAACGTTTTCAATTAGTAGCGACGTCATCTTGAGTCAAGTTGGTGTGAGGTCTTCAGCCACCACAACTCTAGTGCTCTTTAGTAGCCTTTTCTTATCATAAATGAGACTCAGACTCCTTACTGCACCATCACTTAGCTTAAGAAATATTCCTCTCGATTTTCTGTTGGTATTTACTTTTCCAGCTTTGAAGCATGTATATGATTGTCCTGCAGATCTATTTACAATTTGAAGTCAATAAAAGTTTTTTTCTCGTTTTTTTTCCTTTCCATCTTCAGCAAGGTTGAGTAATCTTGGATTATTTTTTCGATACCGCTGATCTATATCATCATATTTTGATTCCATTTGATGCAAAACCTTCATTTCGTTTTGCATTTTACTTATTTCAGCTTACCTTAAATTCAACAATATTATTTTCCTTCAGGGACAAATTTTTGCTGTGGCTTCTGCTACCTGGTCAGCGATCTTAACTGTGAACGTTGGATTATTTAAACTGTTTGTGAGGATATGGCTAAATTTTTAATTTCATGGCACGTTTCGCGTGGGAGCACCATTTTTTCAATACCACTATCATCACCTTGACCGATGACACTTGGCACTTTTCAAGGTTTTTCTGTTTTTACCACACTTTTATAGCTTTGAATCAGGAGCAGATTTACTAGCGTCTATAGCTATCTAAAACTGTAATGACTCATTTATGCATGATCTGAGAATGACCGTCGCCGAGCTGCGGAACGGCTGTCGAGAGGCATCAGGCTAGAACAGGGTGGTATTCTAAACTCTGAGTGTCCGACTTACACATTCTAAAAGCCTCTCCACACTGACTCGCGAGAAAGCGAGAATAACATGAGAAATGTGAATGTGGAACCGATTTTCATAATCTTCATAGGTTCTCGGCTTGTGCTCCGATTTTTGTCGGTTTTTCTGGCGCGAGAGAAAAGAGCTCAGAACGCGAGAACGGGCGAGAACTTGTATTGACTTCCCACTCGCATGTTTCTCAGTGGCGGGTGACTCGCCGATTAGGACAGTTGTGCGTGGTATTTTCTACTGAACATCAATATGAGCCAGATTTGGACGAACTAATTATTAATTTCATTCCTAGAATATTTTCAAGCAAAACCGATTTTGCGGAATACAAATTTAAAACAATATAAAAATAAATTAAAAGCCCACGATTCGTAGAAACGTAGTAGCCCCTTGACGGAATTACCCATAAAAGAATTAAGAATCAAAAAACGTCGTTATTAGCCAGCTTCAGAGGGTATAAAAATAAGGTCAAGAAATCGGAAAAATCTGGTGTTGGTGTCGACGACATTTATCAGCCAATGAGCCGTATTCATAAAACAAAGGATATCCTTGTACTTGCAAATTTTGAAGGAAATCCTCCAGATGGTATTTATAATAATTTGAAGTAAATGCTTTTGCTTTTTGAGTATAACCATATCCTCCAAAGGAGTGACATAAGTAAAAGGATATTCATAAACTTCACCTTATACATGGCATAGGAAGGATATCCTTGTGGTCCGTAGCAGATTCAACATTGTAACGAAAGATGGTCAAACGATGATGGCGGAAATTGTGGATGTTAGGGATGTTAAAACGTACAAACCTCGTTTACCTTCACTTGGTCGTGACTTCAAAAAATTATATCGGTTCGACGAAGCAAATGTACAACGGCTTGCGGACAGATTTTTAGTTGAGAATGGGGAAACTCGAGGAGGAGCACTTTCATGTATTCATAAAATGAAGATATGTCTACTCTATCTCGGTGACCCTGGATATCTACAAGGGGTATTGGTCAGGAACTTGGTGTTAGTCACGCAACGGTATTTCGGACTGTGGATAGAGTTGTGAACAGCATAGTTGCACAGTCGAACGAATGGATCAAGTTTCCAACTACCAACCATGAACTGATGGAGGCCAAGCGGATATGACAAAGCATGTATAAATTGCTGACAGCAATTGGTGTAATTAATTGTACTAATATAGGAATCCTGCAACCAAATGGCCATGGAGATGAGTATATCAACCGAAAAGGGAAACCTACTTTAAATGTGCAAACCACTTTTGATGCCAGACAGATGTTCACAAGTGTTGATGTCAGTGGGCCTGCATCAGTGCATGATTCCAGAATATGGAGAAATTCATAGACTAGACCACAACTAATAAATAAAGCAAATGTTGTAACTACTTGGCGATGACGGTTACGGTATCGAGCCGTGCCTTATGACTCGCTTCAGAAATCCTACTCCAGGTGCAGAAATAAATTATAATAAGCTTTTAAAACAAGAAAGAGTTATAACTAAACGCTGTTTCGGCCAACTGAACAAAACCCAGATGAAGATGAAGGAAATCATGAGAATGACGAACTTCCTCTCCGCCAACTAGGTCAACAAATAAGAAGGAACTTGAGTATAATAAATAATTTTACTGATATAAGTTACAGGTGGCTTCTGACGCTGCATCATTTCTAATTTGTCAAGCAATGAGGAACAATATTAAATAAATTTGTAACTTTGACACCCTGTATCTCGCAAACTGTCAACTTTTGGACTAAGGTATGTTTCGGTCAATTCACATATTTTCGTCAGTAGTATCTCCAATTTCGAGATTTCCCAACCTTTCGCAGAAAAAATACATGAAAATCTTCATGTTAGACCCTATAAGTTTTGTATAAAACTTTCTTTTCTGGAAGGTCATATAAAAAAATTAGAAGGAAGGGTCAATTTATAACCGGATCTTTTATTCAGTGATCAATGTTTGGAAACCTGCATCCATTTGTTACAGGTGTACCACATGTGCGACGGTCTAGGTCGCCAATTCACCTACTCCTGCCCGAATGCAACGCTGTTCCAGCAACGGATGCTGGTGTGTGACCACTGGTACATGGTCAACTGTTCACGAGCCCTTCACGATTACGATGCAGCTAACCGATTGATAGGAAGAGCGGATCAGCCATTTGTGTCGGAGGAAGAAAGGGAGTCGGCTAGGAGAACACCACGGCCGGATCTGCTCACTGCGGCTGGCAATTTGTCAGAATACAATGTCATTTATGGGTATGTAAGTGATATGTCTTTATTGCAGAGTTATTGGACAATAAAGTCAGGCATTAATAATTCCTAGCTGTATTTATAATAATAATAATAATAAATGGTCTTTATTCATCATTATAAATAACTTGAGGATAAAAAAAAATAAAATTAAAGATAAAATGATGAAAGGCGTAGTTCAGCCTAAGCTGCTTTTCAACTAAACCCACAAAACAATAACACTCATACAAAATATATATATATATATAGGTGAAAAATTAAAGCTTCCGCCTTTTGTTGGGTACTTCGACAAAATTTAAGCAAAGAGGACTCTTTATACTTTTTTTAATTCTCTCTAGCTTTCAATGGACTTTGCCATCATCATCAGGAGCTGCAATTACAATGATAACAGTAGCAACAAAGGTGTAAAATGAATTTAAATTGACTCAACTTACAGTAGTATGTGAGGATGTTGCTAATTGTTGTTTACGTATAGGATGAGGGAAACGTCCAGTAACATGGTGAGAGCTGGATAGATTGTACACTAGTCAAACTTATATAAAATATGACAAGAACAAGTTAAAAACAGATTAAAAATTATTTAAAAAAATTTTTTTTTTTTAGAGCATTACATCGTGAAGCCACTTGATGATTGCACAAATTAGTGGTCATGGAATGATGAGTGACATGAAACCCTTTGACAGAAGGCCGAAGGATGTCAATGTCAGTATAGAAAGATGGAACGAATTGTGGGCGTGTGCCAAAACGTTGCCAAATTACTTCAGATGATGAGATTTTCAGAATTTTATGTTAGAATTTGTTAAACCGACCAGAGGCAGTTGAATAACCTATATTATTATTAATGGGAATTTAAATTAACAATTATTAATAAATCGTGAGGAGAGAATTATTATATTTTGAGTGGAATGAAATTTACTGGTGGAATCGGCCAAAACACAGATTCTAATTATGGTTGTGAAGAGTTGAAATTTGGGGAGATATGTAAGTTCTCCAATTTTTCGCAGTTTAGCAAATATGAGTAAATGACACTCAGTTGTTTAACATCTGTCTTTTTGTTGATACAGTTGTTATTCATGAAAATGTGGGACATTTCCAGGAATAAACGTTTGGAAAGTTGTTTTTCTTTATCAAGAACTTTGATACTTGTGTAATTCATAGAATGCCCTGTTGTGTTAACATGAGATGCTAGAGCGCATCTTTCAGGATGAAGCCTAGCATCACTTTTGTGTGATGTAATCCTTCCTTTCAGAGATCTGGAGGTCTGACCTATGTATATTTGGTTGCAGTTGTTGCAATTGATGGAGTAGACTGTGTTGGTTAAGCCAAGCAGCGGGACTTTGTCTTTCATTTTTGAAAAAATGCAGTTTATAGTGAGGACGGATTTGCAAGCAATTCGAAAGTTCAAAGGACTGCACAATCTGATCAGCTTAGGGGTCAGTTCTTTGATGTAGGGCAGGACAGCAAAACCAGGTCTGGAGTCCGGGTTGGTGCTTGTACTGTTAGGATTGATGTTATTATTGGGAATTACATCAGTTCCGTTATTAGGGGTTGTGCGACTATTACCTGCATCACCAGAGTTCGGCAAAATATTGGAAGGTGAACTAAAAATGATCTTGTTAATCAGACACTTCGGATAACCATTATTGATGAACAGTTTTGATAGTTTACGTAAATTTGAGGTGTGGAAGGTATTATCTGAGATGCTGATTACCCTTGTTTTCATCTGTTTTACCAAATTGATTTTAATCCCTAGCTTATGGTATGACCTAAAATTGAGAAACCGACCTGAGGCCATAGGTTTCTGGTACCAGTCTACCAATAAACTGTTGTTGTTGGTGCGAATGAGTCTTGTGTCTAGAAAGGGGACAGACAGGTTCTCATCTTCTTTTTCAATGGTAAATTGGATGTAGGGGTCATAGCTGTTGAATTCTCTGACAATACCATCCAGACCTATGGAAGGGAGGCATAAAATAATGTCATCTACGTATTTTTTTATGAAGAAGAGGTTATAGGGTAGTGTCGGAATAACAGTATCAAGCAGATCATCCATGACATATTCTGCCAAAATTGGTGACAGAACAGATCCCATAGGACAACCATGTGTTTGAGAATATATTTTGTTGTTGAAAGAGAAATAATTATTATGAAAAAGGAATGTTATAATGTTGGTGAAAGATTCTAGAGATATGTTGCAGTGTTGACTTATCTCATTCCAGTGTTTATTAATAGTTCTTGTACATGCATCTAGATAGATGTTGCTGAATAGCGACACCACATCAAGACTGGCGATAATATGATCGGCTGGTATTGTCAATCTGTTGAACTGACGAGAGACTTCAAATGAGTCTTTGATGTAGTAATCATTATCTGCATGTGCTGATTTTAGTGTTGTCGATATTAATGAAGACAAAGCCTGGGTGGCTGAACCTATTGATGCAACTATAGGTCTTACTGAGAGTACAGGTTTGTGAATTTTCGGAAGTGCATAAAATTTTGGAGGGACAGAGTTATAAGTAGTCAAAGTTCTTTTTTGTTCTTGGGTTATTTGTCCAGTGCTGAGAAGTTCCTTAACAATGTCATTACTTTTCTTTTCCACTTTAAGTGTGGGATCTTTATTAATTTCATGATATGATGGGTCATCATTGATGAGATTGTTGCAAAGATCTAAATAGTGTTGTTTAAGCATTATCACTGTAACATTGCCTTTGTCAGATCTTGTAACCATAAGTTCAGGATGTTGTTTTAGAAATGTTCTAGTTTTGTTTAAAAGGTTGTGATAAAAGGAATGTTTCTTATTAAGATTGTTATTATGATAGTAGTTAGTGATGAGGTTAGTGGAACGAGTTGTGAAAATGTTTCTTTCAGTGTCATCACTTATGGAGGATGCTATTGTGTCTACATCCGCTAGGATTGATCTAATTGGAATGTCATTGTTAACAATCGGCTCTACACTGAACTTAGGCCCTAAGGAAAGAAATTTTAATATGTCATGAGGGATGTCAACGTTACTGAGATTTTTTATCCAATTTTGTTGAGTGTTGAGGAGGGTTTTTTTGGTGTCATTCAACAATCTGTCAAACTTACGAGTGTTGGAGTTTTTTATGTTATGAAAGATTTTATTGTAATGTCTGAGTTGTCTATATTTGAAATTATCAAAAATTAAGGGAGAAGTGGAAGAAATTATGTCACTTTGGAGTGAATTGAGTATGGAATGAAGTTATTCCGACACTACCCTATAACCTCTTCTTCATAAAAAAATACGTAGATGACATTATTTTATGCCTCCCTTCCATAGGTCTGGATGGTATTGTCAGAGAATTCAACAGCTATGACCCCTACATCCAATTTACCATTGAAAAAGAAGATGAGAACCTGTCTGTCCCCTTTCTAGACACAAGACTCATTCGCACCAACAACAACATTTTATTGGTAGACTGGTACCAGAAACCTATGGCCTCAGGTCGGTTTCTCAATTTTAGGTCATACCATAAGCTAGGGATTAAAATCAATTTGGTAAAACAGATGAAAACAAGGGTAATCAGCATCTCAGATAATACCTTCCACACCTCAAATTTACGTAAACTATCAAAACTGTTCATCAATAATGGTTATCCGAAGTGTCTGATTAACAAGATCATTTTTAGTTCACCTTCCAATATTTTGACGAACTCTGGTGATGCAGGTAATAGTCGCACAACCCCTAATAACGGAACTGATGTAATTCCCAATAATAACATCAATCCTAACAGTACAAGCACCAACCCGGACTCCAGACCTGGTTTTGCTGTCCTGCCCTACATCAAAGAACTGACCCCTAAGCTGATCAGATTGTGCAGTCCTTTGAACTTTCGAATTGCTTGCAAATCCGTCCTCACTATAAACTGCATTTTTTCAAAAATGAAAGACAAAGTCCCGCTGCTTGGCTTAACCAACACAGTCTACTCCATCAATTGCAACAACTGCAACCAAATATACATAGGTCAGACCTCCAGATCTCTGCAAGGAAGGATTACATCACACAAAAGTGATGCTAGGCTTCATCCTGAAAGATGCACTCTAGCATCTCATGTTAACACAACAGGGCATTCTATGTACACAAGTATCAAAGTTCTTGATAAAGAAAAACACCTTTCCAAACGTTTATTCCTGGAAATGTCCCACATTTTCATGAATAACAACTGTATCAACAAAAAGACAGATGTTAAACAACTGAGTGTCATTTACTCATATTTGCTAAACTGCGAAAAATTGGAGAACTTACATATCTCCCCAAATTTCAACTCTTCACAACCATAATTAGAATCTGTGTTTTGGCCGATTCCACCAGTAAATTTCATGCCACTCAAAATATAATAATTCTCTCCTCACGATTTATTAATAATTGTTAATTTAAATTCCCATTAATAATAATATAGGTTATTCAACTGCCTCTGGTCGGTTTAACAAATTCTAACATAAAATTCTGAAAATCTCATCATCTGAAGTAATTTGGCAACGTTTTGGCACACGCCCACAATTCGTTCCATCTTTCAATACTGACATTGACATCCTTCGGCCTTCTGTCAAAGGGTTTCATGTCACTCATCATTCCATGACCACTAATTTGTGCAATCATCAAGTGGCTTCACGATGTAATGCTCTAAAATTTTTTAAATAATTTTTAATCTGTTTTTAACTTGTTCTTGTCATATTTTATATAAGTTTGACTAGTGTACAATTTATCCAGCTCTCACCATGTTACTGGACGTTTCCCTCATCCTATACGTAAACAACAATTAGCAACATCCTCACATACAACTGTAAGTTGAGTCAATTTAAATTCATTTTACACCTTTGTTGCTACTGTTATCATTGTAATTGCAGCTCCTGATGATGATGGCAAAGTCCATTGAAAGCTAGAGAGAATTAAAAAAAGTATAAAGAGTCCTCTTTGCTTAAATTTTGTCGAAGTACCCAACAAAAGGCGGAAGCTTTAATTTTTCACCTAACTGGTCTAGACGACAATG